TGGCATTTTCTGGTTAAAAAACGATAAAATTATAACATGAACTAAAACTTTAATAACGGTACGTTAAATTAAAACTAAAATTGAAAGATAAATTAAAGCTATGTCAAGAATTAAATTAAACGATTTTAAGCTATGGGCAGTGGGCATAGCTTCACCAACGGTCGTTGTATTATTTGATTATTTGCGGTTTTAACAACTGCGATCCGAACTACCCCATCAGATCCAGGTAAGAGATCTACCACACGAGCAAGAGGCCAATGTAATGGCGCACGATTGTCGTCCTTTATTATCACCATCGAACCTACTTGTAATGGTTTGGAATCTCTGGTCCATTTGGCACGTTGCGTTAAAGAGTTAAGATATTCGTTTTTCCATCTGGACCAGAAATTCTGATGAAACGATTGTAACAGCTGCCACCGGTGAAGCCTATTAGTATTGACTTGCGATAGATCTTCATCAGGGACAGTGGTTAAAGGTTCTAATGTGAGGAAGTGACCTGGGGTCAAAGCTGTTAGATCGTTAGGATCTGAGCTAATCGGGTACAACGGTCGAGAATTCATAACGGCTTCGACTTGAGTGAACAGAGTTGTGAGTTCTTCAAAAGTAAGGACCTGATCACCAACGATACGTAACAAATGAGATTTAGCTGCCTTGATTTTGAATTTCCCACACTCCGCCGAAGTGTGGAGCCGAAGGAGGATTGAATTTAAAAGTTATTTTTTCTGCATTAGATGCATGTTGCATCAGAGTCGCTAATTGATTGCTAGCACCTACAAAATTAGTCCCACAATCCGCGTGTACTTCATTACAGCGACCACGTCGCGCTACAAAGCGTCGTAATGCTGCGATAAAACCGTCGGTACTTAAAGTAGAAACAACTTCAAGGTGCACTGCTTTGGTAGCAAGACACACAAACAAACAAAGGTATGCCTTGTCTATCTTAGCACCACGGTGTGGACCTAACTTTATACGAAATGGGCCACCGAAATCAACGCCTACGATGGAGAACGGTTTGACTTGATTTACGCGATACGCGGGCAGATCGCTCATAAACGGTTGAAGCGGTTGCGGACTAACACGGTAGCATCTAATGCATTTTGATAGGCACTGACGTATGATACGCTTAGCAGAGATAATCCAAAATTGTTGTAAAAGTAAAAAGTGTGTCGTGTTTATACCTGGATGTAGATAATTACGATGTATATAATCTATAATTAAAAACGTTAATGGGTGATCCGACGGTAAAAAGGCTGGATGCTTATGTTCGTATTCTAAGCCCGCTCGCGATATTCTACCGCCCACCCTGAGTATTCCTCGACCATCGATGAACGGATTCAGTTTACGAAAAAATTTAGGTATGGATTTCTTAGAGTTTAAGTTTAAAATGATTTCAGAGAATGTTGTCTGTTGTACATGTTTGACTAAATGCATTAACGATTTATGTCGCTCAACGTTATTTAAGAACTTGCTTCGATCTGCTGCAGCTGGATTACGACAGTTTGTAATGAAACGACGAACAAACGTAAGTATGTTGACTAATTTTTGTAAGGATGAGAACCGATTTATTAACTTTTCTATGATTGCTTCTGTCTGAGACTCACCATCTGCGCGAATAGTTAAAGTCACTGTTTTCCGAGCCTCAGCTCGCACGATTGACTCCTCGTCGGTAGTGAGCTGTGCTGGACGATTAGTGGAATTGATCGGCCAATTAGTTTCATCATGTGATAGCCACCAGGGCCCCGCCCACCATAACGAGTTGACTAGAATTTCACTCGGAAATTGACCGCGCGAGCAGATGTCTGCGGGATTATCGCCGGAGGAGACATGATGCCAGCATTCCATGGGTGTTATATCCTGGATATGACTGACGCGATTAGCGACAAACGTAGCCCAGCGCGAGGAGGGCGAACGTAACCATGATAGAACGATGGTTGAGTCAGACCACATAAAAACGTTATCGATTTTAATTTGAGAAAGATAGATATCACGTACGTATTTATATATATCTGAAAGAAGAACCGCAGCGCACAATTCGAGCCGTGGCAGTGATATACGTTTTAATGGAACCACGCGAGCTTTAGAGCATACGAGGAAAACGTTTACGCGACTAGCCTGGACCACACGCAAATACACTACTGCTCCATATGCGACCTCAGAGCTGTCACAAAAGCCGTGGATTTCGTATGATTTAGCGTCTGGACAGGTCAATTTACGAGGAATTTTGAATTGAGCTAGCTCCGGCAGTTGGTCACGATAAGTGTTCCACGTTCGAATGACGTCATCAGGTGGAGTTTCATCCCAGCCTATGCCAAGAACCCATAGCTTCTGTATCATACATTTCGCTTGGATGGTGATTGGTGAAAGAAAACCCAATGGATCGAAGATTCGAGCGGTTTCGCTTAAAATTGAGCGTTTCGTACAACGCCGGTCGGACGACTCTATAGCGAAGCCAAAAGTATCTGAGGATGGATCCCACTGAAGACCCAATATTTTCAAGGTGGAGGTTTCCGTGTTGTCGAATGACACTGCCCCAGCTAAGCAATCCTTACTAGGAAGATCCGATAGAAGAGGAGGATGATTACTAACCCACTTTCGTAAATGAAATTGACCACGTTTGAATAAAGCGATAATTTGCGATTTGGCCTCTTGAGCAGTTTCTAGTGTTGGAAATCCAGTAGCCAAGTCGTCAATATATACTTGAGTTAGAAGAGCTTGTTTTGCCAGCGGATAAGAGTCTCCTTCGTCTTCTGCGAGTTGTCTCACAGTTCGACACGCGAGGTATGGAGATGACGCTAAACCATACGTGACCGTATTTAAACGATATTCTTTAAGGGGCTCGCTAGGCGAGTTACGCCAGAAAATACGTTGATAATCACGTTGGTCTGAAGACAAGACAATTTGGCGATACATTTGACGGACATCCGCCATAAAAACGATATTAGGTTCCCTGAACCGTAAAAAGTAGTTCCAAAATATTCGGCTGTAATTTTGGACCGATAAGTTGTGTATCATTCAAGGAACGCGAATGGAGATCCTTGGCGGAAGCGTCAAATACAACGCGTAGACGTGTGCTAGTTGAATGGGGGCGTAAGACGCAATGATGGGGGAGGTAGTATTTACCTTGTCCCATGTCCTCAGACGGTACAAGTGACATATGACCGGATTCGAGGTAATCTGACATAAATTCAGAATACTGACTACGTAAATCAGGATCGCGAGATAATCTACGCTCGATAGCGTAAAATCGGCGCAAAGCTACTTCACGAGAGCCTTCAAAAGTAGGTTCCGTATCATTTTTGAAAGGAATCCTTACAATATAACGCCCTGTTTTATCACGTGAATGAGTAGAAATAAAGATTTGTTCACAGAGCGATTCCTCTGGACTCAATGAAGACGAACTCGGCAACGAATCAATTTCCCAAAAACGTTGAACAATTGAATTAAGATCGTTATCACTGCTGGGTATAGCAGATTGTTGAAGTAAAGAAGTCGATGATAAAGATGTCTTACCTAGAAGAAGCCACCCATAAATTGAATTAAATGCGGTAGGTTGATTATATCCTCCTTTAATGCGTTGGTTAAGAATAGATTCAACGAAGACATCTGCAGCCAATAAAAGATCGATGGGTCCAGGTATGTCGAATCCTGGATCGGCCAGCGTCAATGATTTTATATGTGACCACCCCGATGTGTTTAACTGAGCGATAGGTTGGTCGCCACATATTTTATTGATCACGTGCATGTTTAATTTATAATAAACACGCGTACTCGTGCCTACTGAACAAGTGACATCACCAGAAATGGGTGCCATAGCTTCCCCGAGTCCACTGACTTTAGTATCAACCTTAGCTGGAGTGAATCCTAAACTCTTAACAGCAGATTCGGTAATGAAGTTGCTCTGACTCCCGGTGTCGAACAAGGCACGAAAAGATTGCATCCTGCCTGAAGCGTCCCTAACCTGAACAATAGCAGTAGCCAGCAAGACAGTAGTATTTAAATGAGACTTTGAGATCAAAGCCGAGACTGTTGGATTCGGTTCCTGCGGCTGAGGTCTCTCGCGATGAAGTAACGTGTGGTGTTTACGCTTGCATGTACGGCATGTAAATATTGATTTGCAATCTTTAAGTTGGTGGGATGACTTTAAACAATTATAACACCATTTTTTCTCATGAGCTACGTTGATACGTTCGTCCACCGATTTTTTAAGAAACGTGGGACAAGACGTTATTGAATGAGATTCATCACAATAAGCACATTTATACGGTTGTGTGGTTTGTTTAATATCAAGAGAAGCAGCAAGCACTGTAGCAGCGGGGGTGCGTCGAGATTGAGACGTCACAACCGCGGGCGCAGTCTGGTTCGATTTAAGTTTAGTAGTAGCGGTAAAGTGTGTGCCACGTATTAGAGCTTCTGACTTAGCACGCAAAAATAATTTTACTTGATCAAAGGATGGTATTTCTACATCGGAATATTTTTCTTCAAGACTTTGGCGTACCTCTGGGTCTATTTTAGATAAGATATGGTAAACCAAAACAAAGTCCCAATGTTGGACCGGGAAATCGAGTGTCTTTAAAATACATAAATTCTCTTCTAAAAGATCTAATGAAGTTTGGAATTTATTTGCATCATTATGTTTAAAGTCTGTATTTAAAACTTCACGCCAACAAATAAAAGATAAGTTGCGTTTAGATTTGTAACGATTAACTAATGTTTGATATGCATCGTGATAATGGTCTTGAGTCTTAGGGAACGTTTTCACTACCGTTAATGCTTCACCACTAAGGGAAGAAACCAAGTAATGAAACTTTTCAGTGTCCGTAAGTGTAGTAGAATTATGTATTAAAGCGTTAAATGTATCATAGTACTCGGGCCATTGTTTGATGTTACCTGAGAAACTAGAAGTACTATTTTTGGTAATCTAATATTAGATGAATAGTTTGCATTTGCGATTGAGATGAGGGTGGAAATGATTTTGTTAAACTGTGATAAATTGATCCCACCTGATAGTACATATCATCAAAACGTTCATGCATCTTGTTGTCAACATCTTCCGGGTCGTCTAAAATATCTAAAATAATTAAATGTGCATGTTCGAAATTGTGTGCAATGGTCTTTATGTCTCGATAATATGATAAAAACAAGTCGCGCTTGGATGAGTCACTCAACGCTACAGTGCCGATCTCTAAAGCTTTAACTAGCCGGTTGTAAGACATAGTACGCTTTCGACGTAATGATGGCAAGTCCTGTGCTGTATATTCCTCCACGTCGATAGACTTCGATTTAGATCCCTTTAACCTCCTAGTAGAATGTTTACTGAGCAGCGACATTATGAAATGTTAAATAAATGTGCGATTACACGTAAACAACAAAGATAAATTACTCAATAGAATGAATAGGCACAGCTAACCACACAAGTTTTGTTTGAATTTGCTATGACGCACGATACATGCGCGATCCAAAACTTTTGTGGAGCGGTGTACACGGTCGGCCGCTACCAAGAAATCGCCGCCGATTACGAATGCTCAACCGTCGCGTATGATGTGAAGATACCCACAATGTAAAAAAATTAAAACCAACTTTTAATAATTTTATAATTGAAATTAAAATATTTAGAATGGAATGGAAATGGTGAATTTAATATTGGTGGTAAGTAATTATCGTAAGCCGATGGAATTAGGCACCGATAGAAAAGTGATTGCCTAATTAGATCCCACAATAATTACGATAAACGTGTGTGACAATGGATAATTCCTGTTCGATGAGGGTACTCTTGGAACGATTGTGATTTTACGTAGGTTTAAACGGTTATTTTATTTCTATAAGAAATGTTAAATATAGCTCGGAATGCAGCCGGTAAACGTTTTTTGTAATAGGTTTGTTCTGTATACCAAGTTATATGACGTTTCTAACCAGAAAATACCATTAACGTAATAAGAATAGGTGAAAGTTTCCCGGGTTTCGGCACCAAAACATGTAGCATGCGCACCAAAGCCGAAATAGCAGGGGTGGCGTTCTGCTACTAGGGAAGGCAACGATGACGATTATACAACGATGTTCAAAAACTCCACAGAATGTCAACAGCAAATACAGTGCATACACGTACCTTGGACTGCTACGACACACGTTGAGCCTTCCACCTTCGATGATTCCAAGGGCAGGAACACAGGAATTCCGGGATGCGAGTTTAAGAGTCACGCGCGAGTGAGAAAGATCGCGGTGATTTGTTCAGGATTCGGATAAGAGACGTTGAGCGCGAAAGGAGATGTTCTCACACACGGCTTTTGAAAAGTGAATGTCGTTGCTCCAACTTTTACGAGTCACGGTACGCACCACAGACTATATAGGGTCTGCGTTTCGCTGTTGCAAACTGATGGAGCATTGAACATCGATTACTTAACTTTGGAGAATTACGTTTAGTTTGTATGATGACGGAACAGTAGGCTTAAAACTTGCGGCAACTAGATCAAGGTTGTAGGCGGTGGAAAAGTATCAACAAGAGTCCGAGGTTGAGGTGACAAGTATCAAGATATTTGCCAGCGACCTCTGTGGGTTACGGTTCGCACTCCATTCATTATTTATGCGGACAATGTGCCCCACATTTGTACAGAGGTTTGTTCAAATACTTTGGCGAACAAGGATTTGGAGACGTCCCTTTAAACCCTTTTTATTTTTATTTATTTTAGCGTATCTGTTTGAATATTTCATAATTTTTCGGATTGTTTATCAACGTCGGGGATGACAGATGGTATGATGGATAAAAGAATTGATTTAAAACGTATTTTCGATGGGTTTGTGTACTTTTGTATTGTTGAGATTGCTTAGCGAACGCCAGGTTCGTTTAGTTTGTAGTGTCAATAAATTTTCGGTTGTCAAGCTACAAATAGATTATATGACTTACAATCCATCAATTTTTTAAAGTAAAAGTATGTAACAATGGCATTTAGGGCTGATTTTTCAAAAGTCTTAGGAATAAAATTGTTGCTGTCACTGTCTTATACAAACATTCTGACGCAGAAATCATAATTATTTCTCAGGTACCTAACCTTTATCTAACCATTAAAAAATCAGCCCTTAACCTAATAAAAAAGATTAGAATTATTTTAAAAACTTTTTGCATGTAATAAAATTACCTAATAAAAATTAATTCAAGTAATTAATAGAAACATTCTACCATTAATTACTCGAAGGTACATTTATTTCGGGGAAATGAGTAAATTAAAAGTTGAAGATAATTAAATGTGAATAGCCAGGTACTGTGGGGTAAGCCGGCACGTAGGTTTTTTTAAATGATCGCTATGGGACTGTTTTATATAACGGGACTGAAATAAGGGGCTCTAGTGAAACGTTGCCGTGTCTTGAATATTTTGCGATGTTAACAAGAAGTGGATATTTATACGAACCTTTCTGTGTTAAATTTTGATGTCTTATTTGCCTGAAATAAAAGGCAGTGATGAATTTTGAATGAGAAATTCTGAATCATTAAATTCATACTTTTTCTGATTTTGTGAACAAAATCGGGAACTTCGTGCATTTCGCAGTAGATTTAAGAGCTCTCAAAACCAGGTTAGATATTTTACAAATATAATTAGCCGGGTTTTTGGAATAATGTACTGCGCCATCGGCCTGGAGTAGCCCCTGCTCCGTCCTCAGTGTGGTTTTTTGTCAGTAAGAGTCTGAAACTCTCCTTAGCTCAACCCAGGGCGAGAGAAATCATTTAATGATTGTCTTCCCCTTTCCTTTCCCCCTAAAAAGGTACTTTGCAATTAATGGAAACACCAAAGTACAAGATTTTCATGAATAAGTTTCGGGAGTAATATAGAGAATAAAAAAATGTCTCTTCCAGCATCAATTATCTCTCAGAATGGGATGCAGATTGCTTATTCTGCTGGATTAGAAGAAGAAACAGGGGGAGGGGTTAGTCAATGAGAATAATAATAATAGAGCAGTCATTTGATGATTTTCCCCTAACAAAAAACATCAATTATGACATACCGAAACGAAGAAAGCGAAGCCGAATTATAAAAGCTAGTAAAACAACAATATTCCCCTCAAATGTTTGCGGAATTATTTACAACATGAAACTGGTAAACAATTAAACAAGATTGTGTTTGAAAACAAAGAAATTAATTAGCTAATGTGCCGCTGTGAGGGAAGTGGAGGAAATGTTGATTTATACTCTTAATTAATTAGGTAGGTAAATTATAATTTGTGCTTCGCGACGTTTTGCTTTAGAACTGCGGCAAAAACTATTTGAACGCTCACTGACGCTTTTAAGTAGTTATAAGACTAATTTTCGTCATTTAGTGACGTAAGTAATACATATACACCATTTCTCTTCTCCTGGGTGTCGTATGAGATTTTAAGGATTAATAGGTATTTACAAAGGTTTATTAGAAGTGCCCTTAGTGGCCGAGCACCATGCTTCGGTACGAATAGGCCAGCTCGACTGTATAAACCCTCAGGACCTCTATAAACCTGGCATGAAATGATACTTGCGTGGTGTTTCGCCATGTCCCCAAAACACCAAAAACCCAATCCTTAAAAGTCAAATTGAATTCGGTCATTACAGGCATTCTGAACGTCAAAAAAGAACAAAGATAAAAAAAAAATGTAGACTGTCAGTGAAGAAGGTACTCGCTCAATCGGTCCAAAGGATTCTTAATAACCCCTAAAGCTCCTTGTAACTTATTTGCTGTTGGGAATGTCCAACATTGATCGCTTATCCAGGTGATGCCCCAGCACCGTTGCAGCTCTTTATCTTTAAAAAAATATTTTAATTCTGTTTTATTTCTACTTATAGCGATCCGCCCTGGCTTCGCACGGATGCAATACTGATAGATATTAATTTTCTCCACTAATTAATGAATGTTATTATACATCATTCAAGATTGTCTCTTCAAACACTCCCCTTTAAAAAAACCGCATCAAAATCCGTTGCGTAGTTTTAAAGATTTAAGCGTACAGAGAAAGCGACTTTGTTTCATACTAAGTATTTAGTGATCATAACAACATCACAATTTGTACCCTGAACATGGACTATGGGACTAAACAACATTGTGTTCCGTCATCCCTCTAACGGCCATCGCCCGCCGATTATGTCGTCATTGCGTGGCGCCATATTGTATGATGACGTCACTGTAGCCTGATTAGTACCGGCATTGCCAGCGTGAAAATATGTGAGTACGTGACAATGTCATTTATTAGGCTTTTGTATGGCTTGTGTGATTGATCATAATGATTATATTTGAACTAGTTTGTTTATAAGGGGGGAAAAGGATTGTGTGTCAAAAGGGGATGATGTATATTTTTTATTCAAATGCGTTCTATGTTATTTTCATTTCATTTAAATTCAAAATAAATATTTTTAAATTTTGAATTTAAATTCGTCTTATTTACGTATTGTTTTCTTTTGCCACAAAATATATTATACTTGTCTAATATCGAAAAATCAGCCCTTAATGAAATTACGAACAAAAAAATACCATGTGCTATGTAATTTGTAAATAAATACACATGGCCAAAAATCCGTGATAAATTGATACTTACGGCTTCATTTACGTATTTCATATGTATACTAATATTATAAAGAGGTAAAATCTGTAAGTTTGTATGTAGGGGTAATCGTTGGAACCGCTGATAGGATTGCCAAAATTCTTTCACTGACAGATAGCTACAATGTTCCTGAGTGCTTTAGGCTATAAAACATCATGCTACGATGAAATGGAGCCGAGCAGCTGGTGAAAGTAGCTAGTATTATTATATAGTTGACGTCTAAAATTGTTGTTTTACGGTAAAGTTGCAATGATTTCACATATTTTAACATTATAAATTCACTTAACACTTTTGTAATCTCAACTTCATATGATCTGAACTTACACTATCTGTAATTTCAAAGTATACTTAGATAGTACATTCTGAAAATAATTATTCCCCAGAACAATGGTAGGCACTTATAATCGAATAACAACCACCATCACCAGTTGCGCATTCAAAGCATCCAAATTCCCTTGTACATTAATGGACACCATAAAACGCTGGCCATGGAATGAGCCCATAAAATAATGATTATGACTATTAAAAAAAACCATTGACAGGACATGAAAAATCATACTTTTGCCTGTTGCGTTAAATTTTCTTTTTTTCCCTTGAGATAGTGAGAGATTTCAAATATTATGTCTATTATTTTATATATTATTTAAAGTACTATGTATCATTATAACATATTCTTCTTATTAAGATCTGGGCACGGCTTTCATACATTATCATAATTACAAGATAGTAAATATCACTGTTGAAAAGACCTCTTCTCACTCCATCTCAAGGAATG